TAGATGGTATAGGTTAGCTACCTAAAAACGTTTTTGATATTAAGCAAAACTTTTTTTTTGTATAAATAAAATCCACACTTTAAAGCCATAAACTTCTCTATATTTACAGATCAGTAAACTTTGCCGAAATGTTTGATGTAGTTTGAGTGTTTGTAGCCTCTCGATAGAAATACATGCCACTTGACTTCCTTGTGTTCGATCCAATAAATGCAGTGCGATATATTACAATCAGTTAACTTATCCAAGGGAAACACGTGTTTACTTTCTATCTGGTGAATGAATAGAAAAATAACAGCAAGTGAGACGTTTCATTAAATTCAACGTTCATCGACACTCTAACTCATTCGTCCTCAACTAATATCGTTTTGCCCTTACAACCAAGAGAAACGTGTGTTTAAGATATTATTTCCAACTTCACAAATGTTACAAGTTTCACTTTCCTTGTTGGAAAATAAACTCAATAACCCGAACGCTTTCAGAAAGTTGAATTTCCTTCATCGGCGATAGGTGGCTTCTGAAACTAACTCTTTTTTTTTATCTTGAGTCAATATACTTTGAAACACCACGGACTTCACTTTCATTCAGTATATAATATGACACAATATGATATTAACTCTTGAATTACCAATGGGTTTCGACCCCATCTCCTTTTAAAGTACATTTCTAAACGATTTATGCAATAAATTGGCTTTCGGTGCATGACTCTGGTTGTTGGTTTATGACTTTGGTGGTGGGTCCATAACTTTGGTGTTGGGTGCATGATATTGGTTGTGGGTGCATGACTTTGGTGTTGGGTGCATGATATTGGTTGTGGGTGCATGACATTGGTTGTGGGTCCATAACTTTAGTGTTGGGTGCATGATATTACTTGTGGGTCCATGACTTTGCTTGTGGGTGCATGATATTGGTTGTGGGTGCATGACTTTGGTGTTGGGTGCATGGTGTTGGTTGTGGGTGCATGACATTGGTTGTGGGTCCATAACTTTAGTGTTGGGTGCATGATATTGGTTGTGGGTGCATGATTTTGGTGTTGGGTGCATGATATTGGTTGTGGGTGCATGACTTTGCTTGTGGGTCC